CGATCAGAATTGTTACTAAATTCTTAGTAATTCGTTTTACACAATTTACGTTGTGTAAAACGTAAGACGAATTCTGGTGGTTTTGATATATTATTCTTATTTGTATTACATATTTTACATACTGATAACCTCCTATATTTATTATTTTTTTTAATAAATTCAGGAATACCTATACTTCTAGTTTGAGATTTACAATTTTTGCAATAGTCCATTTATTTAAGATATATATATTTTATATATTTTCTCTAATTGTATTATTGATAAGATCATAAAAAATTCTGTACCAGATACTAAACAAATATAGCAAATGGTATTGGCAGGCACATCTTCGTTGAAATCTACACGTAAGATAATACTTGTTTTAGATACAGAAACATCTGAGGGTTGCCTGCTCATATCAATTACAAAAAATGGTCTGATATTTTTAAATTCCTCTGGAGTTATATACATTAAAGATAAATCTCTATGTGCTCTATTATAAACATTCTTATAACTCATTAACATATCATAAGCAATATTAAAATAGTCTTTTTTAAAATCTAAGTTTAATAATTCTTCTGGATACCTTATACCATTAATTTCCAACCAAATATTTTTCAAATTACAATTACTAAACTCTATTGGGTCTCTCAATTGATTATTTAATCTATCTGTCTGAAAAGCTACGATACCAAATAAAGGATTATGGACATTTCTATATAGATTTGTTATATCTTTGTTTAGTGTTTTACCAGTAATATTACTTTCAATACATTGCCATGATTTGAATCTAAATAGATATTCATTTCTCTTGGACAATAAAGTTAATTCATTTATCAATTTATATTTACTCGCATCATCATAAGTCACAATTGGTATTCTAATAGGTAATTCTTCAATAACAACTTTTCCAACTACAGGCACCACATCTGTTTTATCATTCTTATCTCTAAATAAAGCACCATCGTCACTACGTCTTAAAAAATTTATTTCAAAACCACCTTTATATACTGGGTATTCAATATCTTTAAAAAATCCTAAACACAAATTAGATAATTTACCAATAGCACTAAAATAACCACCACCACTACATTTTGACTGAAACCCACTATTTATTGTTGGCCCACTAAGATCTGCAGAATAACTAATTGTACCTTTAATTAAACTACATCTACCAACATTATCAATTCTATCTAATTCTTTACCATGTTTTTTAATACAAATTGACTCAAACAAAAATCCAGGAAAATTATCAACTAATATTACATTTGATCCTTTAGGATAACTAGTACCATCAGTTTGTAAAACTTGGCCAGAAATTTGAAACTTTGCTTTTTTAACATTTAAGAAACTATTTTCTTCATTTATGTTAAAAGCAGTAATTTTGTTAGGAGCATTAAGACTTGATGTTGATATAGGGTAAAATACTTTATCCTGTTCGCGGATAATAGCATAGTCATAATTAGCAAATATATTTTCCATTTATAAGGAAAAAAATTTAATAAAGTTTTATAATTTAAAATTCTTAATAAAATCTAAACATAAATGACCACATATAGGTGGATCAGTATAAGTTTGTAATTGATCAGTGGTGTAATATAAATCATCTTTTCCTAAATAATTTACAATTTCTTTAATTGGAGGAGAAAACCCATAAGAGTCAAAATATACTTTTATATTATCATTTTTTAACCATGCAACCCAATGTGAACCAGGTTGACTAGAATTATTTAAATTTAATATTCCACATTCATTTTTCCAAGGTTTTGTTGGTAACTCATCTTTCATAAAACAACCTCTAAAATTCTTAATATTTTTTCCTGCTTTAATAATATCAAAATTAGTTAATGGTTTTATTTCTTTTTTTTGTTCTTTATTTTGTTTTTTTTTAGACCTGAACCAATCTGTAAAGTCTTGATTTTTCTAACATTTTCTTCCATCACTCTATCATGTCTTTCTGTCTCATCTCGTTTTAATTTCTTATCTTTTGCATCGATAACAGTATTTGCAATAGCACTAGCACCCCCAGCTAATGCGCTAAGAGCACCTATACCTGCTATAATAAGAGGTAAAAAACCACCTACTTTATCTTTATTTCCAAATTGAGATTTTGTAATTTTTAATCTCACCCCCTTTTTTATCTTTTTTAGCTTTAGTTAACTTATTATTTTGTCGATCAGTTAAATTAAATTTGTTTTTGCCATTACCAATCTGTGTGTGTTTTAATTGAATAACTACATCACTTTTTTTTTCGAAAGCTTTTTTATTTGAGAATCATTCAAATCTAAATCCATTTAATACAAATAAAATTTATTAAAAATTAAATATTACCAAAATACCTTTTTGCTTTCATTGTATTTGTGGTGATATAAGCAGCTGCTTTTTCACCTATAGATGCATCTGGGGCTAAAACCCTACCCCATGCTTTATCTTCCAAAATGTTATCTCCAATATGTCTTGTTTTAATATCTTTATGTTTTTTATAAAAATAATCATGTTCCATTGCTGCCATATCTAGTTTATTTACTGGCTTCTTATTTTTTTCTAAATCAGTAAAAGGGCCAAGATAATTATAACCAGGCCAATGTATTTCTGGCATAAATTTACTATTTAAAAGATTATTCATAAGACCTGACCCTTCTACAAATTTTTCAGGCAAACTTGATACATAAGATATTAAATACTCAATTCCTTGTGGAGTACTAGCTAATCTTTCCAACTCAGAACTAAAAAAATGTATAATATCAATTTTTTCATTATAAAAATTATTATGGCCTGCTTTTTCTTCACTAGCGATAAAATATAATCTCTTTAATAACTCATTTAAATTATGTATATATCTATACTCAATATGATCTTCTGTATATTTCATTAAACCTTTCCCTGTTAAAATTTGTGGTTTATTATCTCTACTTTTATTTTTTGGTGATGTCGGTGTTGATGGTTTAATCTTTTGCCAAATTGGTTTAATCATCTCATTATATTTAGCAGATGTACTTGATTTAGGTCTAGGTATAGTTTTGGTACTATCATTATCTTGATATATTGAATCTGTTTCAATTAATATTTTTTCATAATTTTCAAAATCTTCTGTTGTGTAAAAGCCTGGTTTTGTAACTTCTTTATGAGTTAATAATCTCCACATACCTGGGGTCATGGTATGCTTTTTTCCATTTATAATTATATCATCTAAATCAAAAATTATTGGACATTTTCCGATCATATGTTGTTCAGTATCATCATTATAATATATTCCAAAACTATTAGTTTTTTCTAAAGTAGGTAAATATTTCTGTGCATTTTCGCCTAATATTATTACATCTTTAGGTAAAGGAGACTGTGGTGTTACTTTTATTGGAGAATGTTTAGGTGTATTCATATCTTTCATTAGTCTTAATAATTCTGGATTACGTGGTTTATAAGGAGTTGTGTAAGTAGGTATTATCGCTTTTCGAATATCTTCATCAGTTTTAATATTTATTTCTTTAACTTCATTAACTGCATTTACAATATTTTTTAATTCATTTGTTACAGGTCCAAATGATTTCTCTTTTTCTTCTTCAATATATATGTTTCTTAAAGCTGCATTTTTATACTGCTTCTTCAGGTCATCTTTAAGTTTAATTATTTCATCTGCTTCCTTAACTGATGTTACACCTTTTCCTATTTCCACTTTTTTCATTGCAGATCCACCTCTTTTTCTATCTTTTTCTACCTTTTTCACTCCTTTTAAAAAAATATTTCTCATTTCCTTCATATTCATTTAATATGAAAAAATTTTTAATAAACAAATTTATATCATTATTTAGATAGACGTTGACGCTTAACGTTGGCGTTATGCGTTGACGTTTATACGTTGACGTTGACACGTTAACGTTGATTGCTTGCTTTTTTGCAAGCAGGTCTTGCGAATACGTTATGCGTTGACGCTATGAGTTGACGTTTACGTTGGTGATTTGCGTTTATGTTTATCTGAATTTATGTTGTTGAATTTATTATAAATTTGTTTATCTATTAAATTAATCGATATAAAACCAAACTTATTTTTCCAACAAATTGAACATAAAGATTTAAATTTATCAAAAGTTAAAAAATTACTTATCTTATCTTTCCATATTTTCCTAATATAAAAATCCGACTCCTCAAATAAAACTAAAAAATTACAATTTTGTCTAATTGATCTTGCCTCTAATAAGGTATAATTCTGGCCAATATAAATACATGAAATATTTTTGGATCTGGATCTTACAAAATAATCTTTCATTCTTTCCTGTTTTTCTAAAATGTAATCATCAAAAACAACTAAACTATTTGGTTTACAATCATCAACAGATATTATCTCTTCATTGGTTATATATACCTCTTTATGTACCTCATTTCTCAAATTTGCAAATATTTCTTTCATACCTTCATAAATTGGCTGCTCTATATTTTTTGTAAAAATATAAAGATTATCAAAAGGAACCCAATAATTAACAATAATATTAAATAATAAATTAGTTTTTCCTGATCCAGAAGAACCTATAATCAAACAACGCATAGGTCTTGGAAAAATTGAATTTGATATATCATTATCTTTAACTAAATTAAATACCTTAATTTCATAATTATTATCCATTTAATATAGAAAATTAATATAAGCTTAAAAATTAAAATTCCTATTAAATTTTTTTCTTATTAAATATATATAAATATAAAAATGTCTGAATTAAAAATGTCTGATTCAATTGATTCAGTAGACTTAAAAGTTCGATTAAATAAATATGGATACAAGTATAAATTTATTAAATTATCAGAACTGGTAGCTGACAAAAGATATGAAGTTACTGCTTTTGAACTTGTTATTATTAATGGGTGGGATAAAGTATCTGTTGTATTGGATAATAAATATAAGCTCATTTTACCAGATAGATTTTTTAAGACTTTTTCTGAAAATATATATGAAATGAATGATAAAGAGTGGTCTACACTTTACCTTTATTACAGGTATAAAAAAAATACTTGATAATGAAGATTCATACCATCGTATAGAGTTTGAAGGTAATTCTTTTGACACTACTGTAATTAAAGTATTAAAGAAATTAAATGAAGAATATTACAAATATACAAAATTATCTGATTTAAATATCAATGAACTTTATAAAATAACAGCAATTAGAAAAGTAGATACAAAATATGGTGAAAGAGTTTCTGTTGTTTTAAACAATAAGGATATGCTATTATTGCCCCAGAGGTTTGTTAATATTATTTCTGAGTTAGATATAGACAGATATGATGGCGAAATGTATATGAAATATAAGGGTAAAAAAACTCTTGATAATAGGAAAACAATCCATTTGATAGAATTTGAATAACTTAACATTATTTTTTGTTATTAAATGAAATTAATCAAAATCATAAATGGCTCTATACATTTAGAACATTATATACATAATGAAAACCAAAGTATGTCTATTGGATTATATGCTTTGTCTTTTACCAAGGCTGGGGATTTAATCAAAATAGAAAATGATTGTCAGATAACAATTAACACTAACGTAATTGACATCAAAAGTGGTATTTATACTATTGAAAAACTAAATAAATTAATAAATCCATTAATTATCTCTTTGAATGATAAAAAAATTAAAATAGAATCTCCATGTTACTATAGTTTGGATGAAAATTTAAAAAAATATTTAGGCTTTAAGGATATAGAATTTGCAATAACAAGTACCAAAAGAATAATTTATTATCCCACTAGTGATGAATATTACATAAATATTGAAAAAGAATGTGAATTTAGATTAGGTCGAAATGGCCAAATCCCACTAGGTACAATATTCATAGGTATTTATTCAATAGGCGAAATTGAAAATTTATTTAATTCATTCGGAGTTAAATTTGTGGATAATTTTCCTAAAATAAATCTTGAAATAAATAAAAATGTATTAAAAATAACTGCTTCAATTGGTCTGTGCTTTGATGAATATTTATCAAATTGTTTAGGTTTTAATTTTATAAAACATATGATCCCTATTAATAAAACATGGCCTAAAGGGAAAGAAATAGAATTAGGTGTTGAGTATACATCACCAGATATTGCTTATACAGTAATAGGAATAAAAACTCCAAAATTTTACACTCAAAGCTTCTTAAAAGACATAAAAGGCAATATTGAAACAGAAAATAACAAAACTGTAATAGAAAAGAGAAATTACACTATTGATCAATTAAATAAATTACTACCACCAAATATAAAAATATTACAAACAAATAACTATATTACAATTAAATCTAATGTTTATTATTTATTGGATGAGAATTTAATATCCAGCTTAGGATTAGGTAGGTAATATATATAACTATAAACATATTGGCTTATACTCGGTAATTATTTTGAAAATAAAATTATCGAAGTACATTGTAATATAATTGAAAATTCCATTTCTAACCATAAAACTGAGCAATATTTACATATAGACGATGATATTTTATGTATTATTAAATGTGATACGGGTGGCCAATATATAACTAATGACATTAAATATATTCCTCTAAATGTAATAGATTTTAAACATATTAAATTATTTATGACCGATCAAGATGGTATTGAAATAATATGTACCTAATGACTTTGTTGCATATTTAATTCTAAAAACATAGATCTAGATAGTTCTATAACACAATGTTTTGACGCTCGCCCCATACGGGTGAGCGTCAGATACTTTGTAAAATAAATTCTATATTTGACGCGTGCGTAAATATCGCACGCGTCATTTAATTATATTGTGTTCTTAAATAGGCATACCTTTTTCCATTAAATTATCAATACGCTCATAGCAGAATAAATTATCTGTCCTATCTAACATGTTTAATAAAGATATTAAAATATAAGTACTTTTGGGCGTATTTATTATATTTTTATATTTTTTAATTAACAAATTAAGAATTTTTTTCTTTTGCTTAACTATATTATCAATATTTTCAATACCTTTATTATTAATAATAATTCTTTCTTTTTTAGCCAAAGATTCCAATTGTTTATAAAGTTTACCCATTATTTAAATATAAATTTATATATTGATATTATTATTATTATATATTTATTATATTTAGATGTATAAAATCTATATTTAACACGTCCCCCAAAAAGGGACACGTTTTTAATTCTAAAATTTTGTTTTATAGCTATTATAAATAATCATATTTAAATGGAAACGTATTTAGAGAAAAATATGTTAGTTTATAGAAAAAGTTACAATTATTATTCAAAAGTCAGTTTTTGTTTACTAGTTTTAAAACTGTTTCTAAGTACAATTGGCCCAATTGGTTATTTTGTATTACCTTTATTAACAATGTTTTCGTTATTAAACGGAATTATAGAAATTTTTGAAAAATCTTATAAGCTTAATGAAAGAATTATAGAATACAGAATTTGTTATAAATTTTATAATCAATTGATATTGCTGTATAAATCTAATAAAATAATCGAGGATGGTATATGTTTAAAAGAAGCAGATTTTAAAGAAACTATTAACTTTTCCCCTAGAGAAAAATACTTAAAACAGACACAACTTAACGGTTACAAGTATACAGCATAATTAAACATTATATTAATTTAATTTCTTATAAATGGGAAATATATATTGTGTTAAATGTAAACAAAAAACAGATAATATTAATACACATATAATTATGACTAAAAATAATTTGAAAAGAATGTCTGCAAAATGTAAAAAATGTAATTCTTTAAAAAGTTGTTTTATTAAAACATAATATTGTATAGGTACAGTGTATTCTAATATACATCTTTAATTTAGCCGCAACTACAGTTGCGCGGGTATACATATATATATATATATATATATATATATATGTAATTCATGTCTATTTTTAACATTCACCCCATACGGGTGAGTGTTAGATCCACCTTACATATAAATATATATATATAATATATACAATTTAGCCGCAAGTGTAGTTGCGCGGGCATAATAAAATGATTTTGACAAATAATGATATATTTTTAGATTTATGGAATTTTAATATAATATGTTATATATTCATAATTATTGCATTTTTCATGTTTGTAATCAATTTGTTCAAATTTAATATCATTATTTTTTAAAAATTCTATAAAATGTTTATAATAATTTCTAATTCTGACACGGTCGAATAATTCGACCGTGTCAGAATTGTTAATAAAACCCATAAATTCCAATAAATTTTCAGTAATTAATATTAATTTAATAAAATAGCCGCAAGTGTAGTTGCGCGGGTATACATACATATATATATTTATTTATTTTATTTATTTTATTGAATTAACGCCAGTCGGCTTTTACAAAATTTACATGGAGTGTACAAGATACAGATCAAGATATATAAACATTTTTTTTTTTTTTTTTTTTTTTTTTTTTACATATGAATAAATTAAATAAAGTTCTAGATAGATAACATAATGATAATAAGAAATAAATAACATGGTAATAGAAGTAATAAGCTAACGAAAATGTGAGCCTCCGTACTACGGGTATTACAGTAAGTTCGCTAAGCGCATTAATCTTGGTAATGGGGCATTTCTCGCAAAGTTAGACGTATTGTTAGGGGGATAGAAAGAACACTGTAACCTAGTATTATTGGGTATTCGAAAATCAAGTTGTTCGAGAAGCCTAGGGGCATCGACTCTACCCTCAATTAAACCTCGAATAAAATTATTACCAAGGTTATCACGCCTAGTTTGGAGATAGTTGAGCTTAAGGGCTTGTATAATAGGCCTGTAATCGTGTTTTGGGTGAGGGATATTGAGACAGAAGCCAACAAAGTTCATAAAGTAATTTTGAACCCGATCAATCCGTCGAATGTCAGCAGCGGTGTATGGTGACCAGACTACGCACCCATATTCGAGAACTGAACGAACCAACGAGTTGTAGAGAACCAGTAGGCATTTAGGGGAACTAAAATTAACAGTATGTCTCTTAATAAAACCCAGTACGCGAAAAGCTTTACTAGTCATGATATCGATATGAGGACCAAAGTGGAGTGAAGGCACAAACAGAATGCCCAAATCCTCGACTTGGTTAACACGTTGAATAGATAGACCGCTTAGGTTATAGTCAAAGGTAATGACTGACCTAGAACGATGAAAGGTCATTACTTTGCATTTGGCAATATTTAGCGACAAATTAAAAGAATTGCACCAGGCGGCAAATTTATCAAGGGAGTTTTGGAGAGTGAGGCAGTCATTGTATGAGGATATCATTTGGAAAATCTTAGAATCATCGGCAAACAGAAGAAGGCGACAAGGAGAAACTGTTGAGCACACGGTGTTAATAAAAATATTAAATAAGAGAGGTCCTAGGTGGCTACCTTGTGGAACTCCGGATGACGCTCGAAAAAGATTGGATGACTTACCGAAGAGACTTACAAATTGGTGCCGCTCGCTAAGATAGGAACTAATCCACGATAGGAATGGCTCACCAACGCCTAACCTGTCAAGAACATAAAGCAAAGCTCTATGATCTATAGAGTCGAACGCTTTGGAAAAATCGGTGTATATGACATCAACTTGATTACCTAGTTCAAACGCCTTATGTAAAAAGGAAACAAAATCAACATGGCTAGTAACAGTTGAGCGACCAGGAACGAACCCGTGCTGGTCGATTGATATGATCGATGAAAATTTACGTTTAATTTGTTTAAGAACAATTGATTCGAATAGCTTACCGAGGAAAGGTAAGCCGGAGATGGGTCTGTAGTTGGCAACATCGGTCGGATTACCAGACTTTAAAATGGGTGTTACACGACTAATTTTCCAGGCGTGAGGGAAGACACCTTCGGCAAGAGACTTGTTAAAAATAAAAGTTACGGGTAAAACGAGAGTGGCCCGACATCGGTACAGTAGAAGGGCAGAAATACCATCTGGCCCAGGACCACGGGTATTTGATAGGGAGTTTAGGGCTTCATTGACCTCTTCAGTAGTAATCGATAAAATAGATGGGAGAAAAGAAAATTCTTGATTAGTACACTCATCGGATAAAGTGTTTGCCGTAAAATGTGAGTCTTTATATACCGAGGAGAAGTGTGAGGCAAACAAGGAAGAAACATGTTCGCCAGTGGCTTTAGTTTGGCCAAGATGAACCTCATCAGGTATCGAGTTGGCTCCACGTTTACTCCGAACGAATTCAAAAAATGATTTAGGTTTAGTACAAAAGCGCTCTTGTAAGCTATCCAAATAGTTTCTGTAAAGGCGCTTGGATTCATATTTACATCGTGCGCGTAGTCTGGAGAAGGTCGTGTACCGATCATAACCCCCTAGTAATTTGTATAATTTGTGGGATTCTTTTTTCATTGAAATAAGATTAATTAGGCTGCCGGAGACCCATTTTGGGAAGGTAGAATTGCGAAAGCTACGTACTGGAACCCACTCCCGGATACAGTCTTGAAGAATTTTCTGTAGTAAATCTGCTGATTCGTTAGTCGATTTAGAATTAAGGGCATCGGACCAATCTATGTCTTCTAAGTAATGAGATATCATCTCATAATTAGCAGCTTTAAAGTCGTAGAACATGTGCTGGGCGTTGAGCATAGGGAGATCAGATGGAGAGGGACAGGAGATAGTGAGGGCCGGGTGGCGTATTTTGCAAATGTAGGTACGCTCAGAACCGGGTTGCTCTGATTGGTCCAATTTGAATTTGCCGCTATTATTATTATTATTATTATTTTATTATCATATTTTATTAACCATTAATGATAAGAATGTTATACAAATACGGCTTTAATGACAATTATTAGCTTACAAGTATTATTTACGAACTATAAAAAAATAAATTTATATTATAATAATTGAATAATATAAAAAGATAAACAGAGAACATAATGTGAAAATATTATATACAGAAAAAGGTATTTACAATTTTTATCTATACCAATTAGTTTGAAAAACTTAAAAATCATTGGTAATTAATTATATTGTAATTTTCAATATAATATACTATTATAATATATTATGGTAAATGTTTTTAATAATTAATAATTTTATTTTATAATATTATTACTAACATTTAATTTTTTCACATCATAGTCAATGTATGTCAATAGTCTCATTATCCCCAAAAAAAAGGGGCCTTTTATTACAATGGAATACAATACATAATATATTATATACTCACTTTAAAAGTTCAATAAATTATTAACAAATTATTAAAAATACAAAACTTGTTATTAGCATTTTATTTTATATTTCAAATAAAAAATTATAAGTAGGTGAACATGAAACTGAAATATATATTGAATATTTATTAAATTTGTTTACATTTAGCGTTTGCTTGATTATTAGTGATACTTTGTACTAAGTTATGTTTACGTTTAACCACTTTCTTTTTATTTTTATTCAAAAGAGAATTTCTTCCTGCAGTACTCTTTTCTGTAGGTGGTCTACCAGGACCAATCCGATGATTACCTTTATATGTTCCTCTTCTTCTAGCCACAGATGTTGGTTGTACTCGGATATTTCTTCCTCGTTTAGAACTAATAATTTTACCAAACAATTACCTATTATACTATTTCATTTTTTCATAAAAAAACATTAATCTTACCTTGAAGAATTATTTATTATAAAATCTACAGCTTGAGATGTTGTATCAATGTTTTTAATTTTTTTTGTAAAAACTGATAAATGTCTTATTGATGTTTCAGATACATCTTGTTGTAGTAATTCACCAAGTCTATTAATTGAGTTAGTAAAATCTTCCCATTTCTCTGTGAATTTGTCATTTAATGACTGATTATTATTCAGAGGTATTGAAGGTCTAATATTTGGATCATTTTCAATATCACCATCTTGTAAATTATTTGAAAAATCTTTATAACATAACTGTAAGTTTGTTTTTTCTCTAGTTGTCTTCAAATTTTCTTTTTCCATAATGGAAGTTTGTGGTGTTGGCAACTCATTCAGATCCTATTAAGTAGTGTTTGAAAAAAATTAATATTTAAAATAAATTTAAAATATGTAATGAAGTACCTCAAAAAATGGTTTTGGAGGGCAATCTCTGATTCCCAGAGCTAATAAGGCAAGTTTATGCCTTTCATTTGAATCAGTTACTGGGCTATTTGGAAATTCAATATCATAATATTGTTTTAATAAAGCTTGGTGTTTACAAAACCCTCCTTGTTTGCCACTGTAACAACTACACCACCCAATAATGGTATTTACATCATAAAACTTTTTGCTATCTTTAGAGCTTGGAACTTTGTATAAAAATTCATCAATCTGTAATATAGAATTCGGGTCAACTGATTTCATTTTTGTCAATTGTAATTCATAGTCTTTTTGATTCCTCCTATTGTAAGCAAAATCTAACAAACGATTAATAAAATATTTATCCCAAATTATTGAAATAAACTCAACCAATGCAACAACATTATATGCTTTAGTACGTTCTAAAATAATTTCTTTCAGAATTCTAATTGTTGCCTCTGAATAATTATTGGTTTGATTATTACGAGTTATAAGATTTTCATTTCTATAACTCATTGACCATTCCTGACTTCTTTTTAAATTTTCATTAAAGCGATCTTTGAATGATTGATTTCCTTCCAAATGATTAATTTCATTAACTACATCTTGAAAATCTTCATGGTTCTTAGCGTATACAGCCTAAAAATTGAATTCCTTAATATAAATATAAATCATAAATAATTATTAAATACTTTTCTAAAAAGTTGCATCAACTGTTGCCTGTTAACAGGTAATATATTACTACTAGAAGACATCAACCATCGCCATTCGGCTTGTAAAAAATGAAATATACAGAGAATCTGAGTGGTTTGAGGCCAAATTTCTTGAATTGCCTTTTTTTCAGCCATGGAATCGTCTGTCATTATAATTTTTGGATACTAAATTATGTAAGAAGAAAAAAATTTCAGTAGGTGTATATATAAAAAACAAATTATCACAACATTTTAAATATTTAATAATTATTTTATTCATTATTTTTGAAACCTACTATAAATCATAATTTAAAATTAGTAACTTACCCCATGAGTGATATCAATAAGGGCTAATTCTTTAAGTACATAAATAACTTTTTTTCTCACTAATATAGTTGTAAAGAATTAGTTAAAGTTAAACCATACAATAATACTTTGAGAAAAAAAGTTATTTGTTATAATATTAACCTTGTACCTACCTAGTTAAAGAGTTAGTCTTTAATCTCTACCTTCTAGCTATTATGCCATAAGTGTTTTTAAATATGATGAAATCCGATTGTAGATATATTATTAAATTCATTATACATTAATACATAATATGTTTGGTTTTCAATTTATTTATTGTTGAATAATGTACTCAATTATAATTTATATTATTAATATTAATTTGTTATATAATATAATTGTATAATTGTATAATTGTTTCAACTATTTTATTTTATTATAATTTAAAAATTCAGGTTATAACAACAAATATAAGATTATTTAATTTTTTTAACATATTTTATAATTTACATAACTAGTGAAATAAATGGTTAAGTGGAAAATATAAAAAAATTGAGATAAGTGTATAATAACTATAACTGGTATTATTTAGTATAAATAGGTACATATTAGAATAAATATTTATAAAATGAATAATATTGTTTGGAATACATAATAAATATTTAATTACCGTTAATCCATTGAAACATAAGGGAAAATTATCCATTAGCATTTTAAATCCCTTTTCATAGGCCACAGCCGTTTGTTGCTTATGAATTAAAACCCCAATTGGCACTGCACCTCCCTTTGTAGCTGTTAAGAGAACAGTAACAGATGCCATGGACACATCACAGCTAGAAGTTGAATCCATAAATATGATTTCAGAACTATTTTTCAGTTTTTGTGCTCTTTCATTTAATGGTGTTACAACAAGGACTACCCATGGATCTGTTTTATCCATTACAACATGTATGCCTATAAAAATTATAAATATTGACTAGAAAGTATAAACTACTAAGTTTGATGAATTATTAATTCATAAAATGCCTAGTATATAATATTAACTTACCTTAAGTATTATCTTATTTTTTTATTACAGTGAAAACTCTTTACAACGAAACTCTTTACAACGAAAAACTCTATATAACGTAAACATTACATAATAATGGTTGGTTTGCTAAACAACCCATTAGACAATTCCTTCTCTATAACGTATTTGTCACTCTCAATAACGAAACAATATTTTATGTTTCATAATACAATTTACGTGTTATCGTATCTATTACATATGCATATAAACTATAAAAATAATCGGCAATAATGCCGACAATAATTATTGTTTCATGAAGATGATCCAAAGTTATCCCAAAACATGGGAGAAATTCATAGAAAAATACAAAAACAGTATTGGCAAAATAAAAAAGTCCAAACTAAGATGACAGACTATTTTAAATAAAGTATAAATATGTATAGTATATAAAAATTAAATTATATTTAATAAGTAGGTATGTATAAAAACAATAATAATTTAATATAATACGTAAATATATATAAAATAATGTAAAAATAATGATGTGTTTGATATATAATATTACATAGGTACATACCTTTATACATAGATAATTAAAATTTTGTTTTTTTTAAACCCTCTCTATTACGAAAACTCTCTATAACGAAAGAAATCTCTTGGTCCCTTCAGATTCGTTATAAAGAGTTTTGACTGTATTTGCACAACACTAATGAATTAAATGTATTATACAGTTAACATTATATTATAAAAAAAATATGTGTCTATCAGTTTTGTAATGAAAATGTTCAATATATTTGTATATATTCAAAGAAGTTTGGTACTTTTTAAACATGTATGTAAATTAATATTTTTTTATATTAATAATAATATTATCTAAAGATTGTATTAAAAATTCAACAGATTTGAAAAAAATATTGAGTAATAATCTCTTCAGGTACAATTTATAAAATATAAAAGTATACAAATCATTTATGGACTATTTTTTCATAGAAACTGACTAAAATATAATTTAAAAAAGGACCATATAATCTAAAAATAATATTTCCATGTGTTTAAATTCCTTATTTAAATGCCACATCAAATAATATTAAACCTATTACACATTACATATTATAGTATATTATAAATATATTATAATATATAAAATAAATTTACAAAATATGTTATAAACAAATAATGTAAGACAATGTTATTATACTACCTAATTATGATACTTAGCCATTTTTATATATTCAAATAATAAATTAATTTATTAATAATCAAATAATAATACCTTGGTTTAAATAATCTGGGATTTTTTCTTCCAATCTCTCAAAAGGTTCCTTAAAACTTCCATAGTTTTCTTCCAAATATTTATGCCACAGTCTATATATAGTCCAAGGTCTTGGGTTCAATGCACCATTAGCCAATGAAACTATATAATTTGGAAGAGTACGAAGTCTAGATATATTCTGTTTCATTGCTTGACTAGGAGAAAGTCCATCAGCAAAATATTTTAGAAAAACAGATTTTACTTCTGGATCAATAAATAATCGCTTTAGAGCATCAGCACTACCACAGTTATGGCTATGAAAAGGATTAATTTTAATAACAGTGTTTAGAGGAGGGTCTCTTTTTAAGTATTCATCATTTTTCTTAGATCCTTTTGTCACAATTTTTATCAAAATATCAATAAATGCATCACATTTTTGGTTTTTTTTACTGCTTTCCACTTTTCTATGTGAACTAAAACTGCACACCCATTTGTTATGCATTACAAACCTATAAAAGTCAATACATTGTAGGATGACTTAAAATAAAAAAATTAGGCACTAAGAATTTTTTACTTTTGGCCCTTCAAATTAGATTTTCATATCCCATTACTATTAGACAATATAAGAAAAGTAATATAGGAAAGTGATAGATTTAACTTTTGAAGCAATTTCACTACTTCAAAGATGATGACAGACAAAAAAAAAATATTTTTTTTTTTATTTTTTTTTTTTTTACTTATAGTTATTAGGTACTTAATACTTATAGGAAAATAAATTATCTCAGCACTCAAATTGGTTATATCCTTACCTAACTATATACTAGGTAATTAAAATTAACAACTTCAATTGAATTAAAATTGATTATACTTTTAATTTAATAAATAAAATATACTTACCGACTACTATTTCCTTTATTCAACCTATTACCTTGTATCCAATAACTATCATCAAATTTTCCAAATTTCCTAATAAAACTTTTAGCATCATCTTTATCATCCATATATGTACGTAATGTCAATACATTTTTAGAAGATAGACATTCCGAGACAACTAACATAAATGTGGAGCCTTCAAAGTACTCCAATAATGATTTTGTGTATAATGTGTCCTATTCAATACATAATATGACACACATAATATTACTTAATAATATGAACTACTATATAATAATATAATATAATATAATATTGAATGCATTTATTAAATACTAATTTATACACTTAGTAAAATATTTGAATTACCATTATTATTAGTTTAACAATTTGTAGGGTTCTTCGATATTTATTAATACTTACTACCTATAGAAAATAGGTTGTAATGTTTATAAAAATTATAAATAGTATTAATTACAAATTAATTATAATATATAAGAAAAAAAGCGTAACGTTATTAAGTAGTAAGTAGGTACTTATTAGTTATTACTTATTATCATTAAAGGTAAAGATAAAAGACGTAATCTAAATATATCTTTAAATAATTCAAAATTATTATTATTATTGTTATTATTAGCGGCAATTCAAATATAAGTTTATTTAGTTCTTGATAATAAAATAATAATAATAATAATAATAGCGGCAAATTCAAATTGGACCAATCAGAGCAACCCGGTTCTGAGTGTACCTACATTTGCAAAATACGCGGCCGGGTGGTACAAGTCACATGGAACCAAGGGATCGGCAGCCTGAGATACTTGGGTGGATGCGTTGTTGGTGAAGATTAAATCAAGAACGGAACCGGTGTTATTATAAATTTGGTTCTTTTGGGTAAAGTGAAGCAAACTAAAATGATCCCCAACAGTTCGAACCTTATCATTAATCCTACCAGTGTAGATAAAACCAGAATCACCACTGGTCCAGGATACGTTGGGCAAATTATAGTCACCACAAACCAGACCAAGATTAAAGGCATTAGTTCCCCAGGCCTGGTCAACAGACTCAAGGTGACCTTCGTAAACCGAGGGGTTTAACCCTGGAGGTAAGTAAACTCCAACTAAAAAAACGGAGAGACCACTAGGAAGAGTGAACCGAACAAAGACTTGTTCACATTTATCATAAAGAGAAGTAATTAAGACTGGTCTAAGCTTTTTGTTGACTGCAATTAATACTCCCCCACCCCGTCGACAATTACTTGTTAGAACATTCCTGTCACACCTAAAGATTAAATATTCATCGAAACCTAATTCGGCATTTGAAATGTCATTAGAGAGCCAGGTTTCTGTTAAAACGTATGCATCATAGGAAGATAAAATAAAGTTAGTGTGGAGATTCAAAAGTTTAGTACGGAGGCCGCGAACATTTTGGTAATAAATTTGAACATTATAGTGTGGACTGGGTAAAATATTAGAATTATTGGACATAGATATTAACGGGGATACATTTTTAGTTATAAAATTATTAAAATTTGAGAAAAAAGAGTTAAAGGTGGACTTAGTGTAACGACAAAAAGTACAATTAGAATTATTTAGACAAAATGCATGCAAACCAGAGTTCAGATCATGAACTAATGAATAGGCTGGGTGGTATTTGGACGATGGTTGCTTCCTCTGGGATTCGTGTTTTTTGGAACAGCTTTAACTACAGTAGGAACTCCATTGACAAACGAGATTGTAAGATTGGTAGAGCCTGCGTCCTTTTTCTGCTCCAGATCAATATGCGCTTGACGTAAAAGATCGCGTTCTAGTGTAGTCTTGTCACGTACTACGCGAAAACCAGGTGTGGGTGATACTCCATTTCGAATCTGGGAGTTAAACTTGTAGATGAGTTGTGATGCATCATTCTTGGACTGACAGATGATTTTGAGAGGTCTTGGTTTTTTCGCAGTGCTATTCCCAAGGCGTATTAGCTTTGGTTCAGTGGGAACAGGAATAGAAATACTATTAAGAAGATTGCTTAAGGTGTGTAAGTCCTCTTCGGATCTTAGTGCAGCGGTGTTGGCACTAGACTCAGGCACACCATAGGCGATTGAATTAAATTCAATTTTCGACCGTTCAGTGGACTCACGAAAAATCACAGATGATAAATCGCTAGGATGGACCGGCCGTGATTCGAGAAGGTCAATTCGTGTTCGGAGATCTGAAATTTCGGTCCGAAAAGCAGCATTCTCGGTGGCAAGATCTGCCACTTTGGAGGTTAAACCGGAGATACTTGTACGGAGTTCTTGAAACTGTGACAATTGGGATGTAGAGAGTGAATTAATGGCTTTGAGAATGTCGTCATTGGTAGACATTTTCAAAGACTGTGACCGCGTATTAACAGGCTTTGCGATAGGTGTTGTGGGCATAGTGACTAGGATAAGTGTAATAATTAATCAGGTATCCAGCGCAGTAACGGTGATGGCAAATATCGATTTGGTAGGTAAATGAATTAGTTGTTTGAACAGCTAATAAATGAATTGTGCAGCAAACCGAAAAGCGTTATTTTATGATTTCAATGTTACGCCTTAAAAAGAGTGAGCGCAACCTATAATACAGCCATGTAGTTCGATGCAGCCAACCAAGTTAGACAAAGGTAAATGTTATAATGGGCAATGATGATGCCCAGCGTTTAGGTCACTGAAGAAAAACAGCTGACTGGTTATATTAAAGAGTGGTCTTGATAAGACTTGATGATTGAAGTGATAAGACGTACCTGATGTCCACGAGTAACAGTTTGGTCAAAACAATATCAACACATTAATGTAATTTATCCGCTAACTTGAGGCTTGAAAACAGGTACAGGCAAAAATGTATTAAAGATGAGATTAATGGAAACAACCACGTAAACAAAGAAGAAAGAGAAAGCTAGAAATATAACCAAAACTTATGAGAGTGACTCGTATCACTGTTATCACTGTTATATACAATATAGTAATATTGATATATATACAATTTAGCCGCAACTTCAGTTGCGCGGTTATACATACATATAATATATATATATACATATATACATTTTAGCCGCAAGAATAGTTGCGCGGGTATACACACATAATATTACACACATTAGCCGCAACAACAATTGCGCGGTTATACACACATAATATTACACACATTAGCCGCAACAACAATTGCGCGGTTATACACACATAATATTACACACATTAGCCGCAACAACAATTGCGCGGTTATACATACATATATATACATATATATATATATATATATATACAATTTAGCCGCAACTTCAGTTGCACAGGTATACATACATATATATATTATTGGAATTTATGGGATTTGGTGACAATAATAACACGTCCCCGAATGGGGGACGCGTTAAATATAGAATATAATATATACATTTTAGCCGCAAGAATAGTTGCGCGGGTATACATACATATATATATTATAAAAATGAAATATATAGCGCACTCTAGCTAATTGATATTGAACTAAGACCGAATATTCTAGAAGGCATCTTTTTTACTATTATCATCAAATATTATTATGATAAAAGTAACTATGTCAGTAGTGTGGTAGCTGTTGTATTGTGTATTTGTATACTTGTAACCATTAAGCTGTGTCTGTTTTAAGTATTTTTCTCTAGGAAAAAAGTTAATAGTTTCTTTAAAATCTGTAATAATTATTAAGATGAATCATATACCTTATATATTAAATGCTGCTTATTGTGATACAGAAAAAGTTCTTAATAATTTAAGCTTAGCAAAGAGTAATAATGACAATTATAAAACTGTATGTGATTTGATTTCTAATAATAAAATCAAAATTCCAAAATTATATCGTTCAATTATTATGAAATTGCTTAGAATAACTCCTGTAACAAAAAAGATTGTTGGTGAAGAATTTAACAATTGGTTGAAATCATTTCTACATACTGAGGTAAATACATATGTTATAATTCCAGATATAGCTAAAAGAGATTATTACGATGTTCTAAAATTTCTCAAAGATGGAAGAGGTCATATTAGTAATCGCCAAAATCGTTTATTAGCTGATCAATGTATTTATGGATATTATTTAGAAATATTTTTTCATCATCATTGTGAAGAACGTAACAAAGGTAATACAAATCAAACTTTTAAAGAAATTATAGAAGAAACATTTAATATTACTGATACATATGGAAGAGTTTTACGATGGGTTGGTCGACTTTGGCATGAATATAAAAACATAGAAAAACTTTCTATAAGCATACATCGTTTATTTGTTTTAAATCTTTTTAAACTCTATCCAGAATTAGCAAATGATTGGAAAGAACCAGTTACTCCGACATTGAATAACATTGAAGACTCATTAAATAATGTCAATCTTTAATCATTATTATGTTATACTATTATAATATCTAATCTATATCTATCATTTAATTAATTTTATGCTATATGTTTTATATATTTACAATACTCTTTATTATACCTATATTGTGTCTATATTGTGTCTTTATTGTATCTAATCTATATCTACATATTATGTATGTAATATTATCCTTATATATATATATATATTAATCTTATCCTGAATATACTAACAATTATAATATTCATAAAGAAAATATAAATAATTTTTATATATTTATTTTAATATCAATGTAGGTAATTGTATACACTATAGTATTTCAGGGTGTATGGAAATACACCCTAAAGATATTTAAAATAAATATAAAAATTAGTACTATTGTAAATGAATTTGAGGTGGCTGGTTTGAAACCAGTCACTTATAATATTATATTATATTATAGTAAAAATCGTGGTCTGTTTTTCCGACCACGATTTTATTAAATAAGTTATGGGTTCTTATACAAAACATGACGTACCCCTAATTTCAGGGGAACGCAAGATTAATAAAATTAAAGAGAATTTATTGGAATTTATGGGATTTGGTGACAATAATAACGCGTGTCCGAATGGGGCACGCGTTAAATATAGAAAAAATACATAAATTTATTGAATTTTATAAATAAAAATGAATATAAAAACGTGCACGGAAAATCCGTGCACGATTTTAGATTAGAAAAGTTTCATTTTATTCATGGCCGGAAAAGCCGGCCATGATTTTAGATATCAAAAAAACATTTTTTGTGCATTTTATGTTGCCACTAAAACACATAAATTGTGGTGAACGTACCTTGCTTACTACTGATACTTATAACTGAGAATTTATTGGAATTTATGGGTTTTTGTGATAATAATAACACGTGCCCGAATGGGGCACGTGTTATTAATAGATATAAATTACATAAATTTTTAGAATTTTTAAAAAATTTAAATGTAATGACGCGTGTCCGAATTGGACACGCGTTAAATATAGATATGAAATGCATAAATTTTTAAAAAATAATGATATTGAATTTGAACAGATTTGTTTAAATTTTTTGTAATTTTAACAGATTTGTTTAGATTTTTTGTAATTTTTAACAGGAAAATATAAGGTCGGTTTTTTTTTAATGTTTTTTCAATGTTATTTTAGATTTTTTTATGCTTTTGTGTGTGTTTTTTATGCTTTTTTATGTTGTTTATGCATTTTTTAATGTTTTTTATTCATTTTTTAAAGATTTTTTAAGGCGCTTTTTTTGTAATATAAAAAGTGTACCATACGTGCCCATATACTACTATCAGGACTTTACTTGTGGATTTGATAGTTAGCCATATAATTAAAAAAAAAATTCTTCTGTCTGTTCAACTTGCTTCTAATATTGCTAATTATATTGTTGCAATATTTCCATCAGAAGTTAAGGTAATATTGATATAATTGTCCAAAAAGCTTTAAATAATTTTGAAATTGATTTAATTTTGATTTAGGATATCTATTTTATGAAGGATACAGGGGTAAACAAAAATCCAAAAGGTAAAATTTACGCAAAATACTACAACTCAATGAGAACATTAAGGACATGTGGCCTCGTACCGGCAGTTAAAAAATCGTCAGTGTAAACTATATCATATAAGAGATATGATCAACAAGAATTTGGTTATATATATTTAATTATTATACAGGATATACTAAATTGTATGTGATAGCATGACATTTAAATTAGGAAAAATAACCTATGTGAAAACCTCTTTGAATCATTTGATATTAAATAATTTTTTTAGTAAGTAGAATGGGGAGGTTCGAGTTTATATTTTTATTCATTACCATCATTAGTTAAAATTTGAGAATATGTATAATTTAATTATTTGTACACATTGTACACATTTCAAATATCATCACATTTATTAAAATAAAATTTAAAGTTTTAAATTGCCCCAACTTCAGAGATGAAAAATGTTTCCATGTAAGTTATTAAACGAAATTAAGAATAAAAATGGAAATAAAATAATTTTCAATCCCTGAATAAAACCTAACAAATAAGCCATTCACACTCACAATACATATATTAGTTATACATTCTAGTTATAACCTTTTCAAACTTTTAATTACTGCAACAACTTCCAAGTTCTACTTTAAGTCGCCGGAGTGAAAATGTCCCCATTCATAATTATTTGCGGAACAACTTTTAAGCCCAAAGAAATTATTATATTTTTTGATTGCATCAAGCACAAAATGTTTTCATTCATTTCTGCAATAGATATATGTTTTAAGATATTTCATATTTTTAACTTAGAATATCCTGTAGAGTCATATTCTGTATGGCTGTTTATACAAAAATATTTTTATGATATCAACACAAAATATTATAAGACTTGTCACACATTGGGGCAAATTCTTTCAGACTTACAAAATTAATAAAATATTAATTTTTAAATAGATTTTGTTTATATAGGTATAGGGATACCATATAATAATACAAGTTGTTTTTATATAATTTAGTTTTTTGATAAAGTTATTTTTATTTAATTTTAGATCCATTTTACCTGCATACTTATAATATGTTATAATTTTTATAAAATACAGTAATTCAAGTTGTTTTTAATTTTTATATATTATTTTAATTTCATTAAAGATGGATTTTCCCCATACATACTTATACATGTTATTATTATTTGTTTAGCATATAGTGAAGTTATTTTTCTCTTTTTTTATTTTTATTTTAAATTCAAATTTAATATACAAAAAAATGTATAAATTACCTGATTTGATAATACAAATCTTGTTAATTTCATTGTACATATTCTTAAAATAACAATGCTTATTTGTCTATTTTACATTATTATATAATCACAGTGAAAATACTTATTATTAAATTGATCAATGGAGATTGTCGGATTGATAATGTTTGACTTGATAATTAAATTTGTAAATAAACCGTTACCATCAGATACTATAAATTTAACAATATCATCTTGTCGGCTCTATATTAGAAATAATATTGTCAATTTAATCTATGATTTCATCACTATAATTGTGGTTTTTGGTTGAGTGTAGACACACCCACGCATGAAATACATACTTTAAAATACTTAGTCGCATTTACATAGATGCATTTAAACATTCCAATACATCCATCCTAAAAAGTATTTTCAAAAGTACAACATCGCTCATCAATTGGTTGTACCTACTACTACAAAATTGTTATGCCCAATAATCATCAATACGTCATTTATAAACGTGTATAAATAATATATAAATAAATATAAACAGATCACTATAAATATTTGTATTCAAGTCTACTACACTGCTATGATAAACCCTTATCTATTTTGGGTTATATATAAACATTTTTACTAAAAAAATATACATTGACAACTAAAATCAATCATTTCGGTTTTTCAAAACAAAAAAGGACCCTTTTTCCAACCCAAATCTTACGAATTTCGAAACTAGTTCAAATGTATACACTCTTTCGTATTATTTTATAGTAGGGTTTCATATCATCATACCAATCAAGTAAAATACTATGAATAACAATTGATGCGTAAGTATTTTTATGAAACGTAATATAATCTTAGTCTTCATAAATCATAACTCACTACCTGATGCTATTAAAATTAAATAGTACAACTTACATATCACTACCGACATAAACATATTATAACTCATGTATGTGCATGGGAAACCACCAACGAAACCCCATTTGACTCGAGCAAAACGTATATTATGTGAAAACGCATGCAACTTACAATCACTCAAGTGACCGACACATATTATATTTTATCAGCTCATACTTACAACAGTCATATCACTTATATAATATTTTTATTTTACCGTGTGTATACACACACACAGGCATATCACCTTCGCTATGTATCATTGTATAAGTTATAATTTCCGAAAATTAAGAACTATTAACAATATCTCTCATTTCAGTAGATTGGTACTTTATGCGGTTTATTACAAAAATCTCGAAATAGGTACCTACACAATAATTATCATCTACTCTTCTCTACATCTACTCTATCATCTACATATGTAGTATTATAGTAACATCTTTATCAATAAAACATTTATAAATCTTCATGTTATTAGTCATTTTCCATACAGGCTCATGCTACAATGAGCATATAGGTGGGAACTTACATACATTCTTGTATCTTTATATCTTTATCTTTTATCTTTACACAATACTTTTTTTTTTTTTTTTTTTAATTTAATTAAGGCATTCCTAGCTGGAGTAGCTATCTAGGCCTATTTATAATATACATACAATTTTCTTATTTACATAAGTGCGATAGAAAATACTAAATATTAATTATTAAATAAGTTAAAAACTAGAAATTTTTCTGGAGTGATGTATTCGATGTATCATTGAATAGTGGTAGGACATTTGATTCGGTCATGGGGTCTTCCTCTCTTGAGACGGCGAATTTTTGGTGGGCTTTCGATTAAGTTGTAGTGAAAGTTGCCATTTAACCATTTGAGTACTTAAGAGAATGGAAGAATATGTTTGATAAATGGTTTATGTGCTCGTTAATAGTAGGGATATTCAAGTCCTTATGTATGGCTTTGTTGCGTACGAACCAGGGAGCGTCAGTTATTATGCGGAGTATTTTATTTTGATAAATTTGAATTTTATTTAGGTGACTATTAGCACAACTGCCCCATATAGGACATGCGTATAATATTAATGGTCTCAGTACTTGCTTATATATAATAAGTGAGCATTTTTTACTAATAGTTGATTTTCTATTTATTATTGGAAAGAGAACCCCTAGACGTTGGTATGCTTGCTGGAGTTTAGCCGATATGTGAGGCCTCCAGTTTAATTTCTTATCGAGGATAACGCCTAAGTATTTTACCGACGGTTTCCAGTCAATTGACTCGTTGTCGAATTTAACTGGTTGAGGTGTTTGTGTTCTGCGTAGAGAAAAAAATACCGCTTGGCTTTTTGAAGGGTTTATAATAATTTTCCATTTTTGGCACCATGGTGAGATTTTATTGAGATGTTTTTGGAGTGCGGTGGTAATTATCTGAGTATCTGAAGAATTGCAGTAGATGGTGGTATCGTCAGCAAATAGGGCGATGTTTGTGTCCCTAGTTAGTGGAATATCTGAGATGTAAAAATCATGTCCTAGTTTGGATCCCTGAAGAACACCAGTTTGAATAGGTCTGCAAGATGATTGCGCTTCATTTATTCTGACAGCAAAGCGTCTGTCGCTGAGAAATGATTTTAATGTGTGCAGAATATATCTTGGCATGTTTACGCATTTTAATTTATAGAAAAGGCCATCATGCCAAACACGATCGAACGCTTTAGCGATGTCCAAAAAAACTGCACCTGTGTGATTTTTATTTTCAAAACCGTTATTAATTGTTTCAGTGAGACGTAGTTGTTGCTGAGTTGTAGAATGGTGTGATTTGAACCCAAATTGGAACTTTGGTATCGCTTCGATTGAGTTAAGATAATCTAAAAGACGACTTTGTATACATTTTTCGAAAAGTTTGGAGAAAGCCGTCAATAAGCATATCGGTCTATAGTTTTCTGGGTTTGACTTGTCTTTACCCGGTTTATTTAATACAATTATTATTGCCTTTTTCCAGCTTAGCGGAAAGTAACCAATATTGAGTAGGCCATTGAACAGATTTGTTAGAAAGGTTATTGCTTTATTGGGAAGTTTTTTGAGCATTTGATTAGTAATTAGGTCCGCACCAGGTGACTTCCTATGTTGCAGTGCTTTTATGTTATTTTTAATTTCCGTAGGTTTAATATATGCAAGCATGTTTTGTGTTGCGAAATCTTCCATTAATGCGCTGTTTTTAACTAAGTCGCAGGTTTGCCGATGAAATATGTCGTTAGGTTTAAATGTACTTGCTAGAGTATTCGCAAATAACTCACATTATTCTTTATCAGTTATAGCTTTGAATTGTGTTGAGGTATGAAGGGGAGGAATATTATTTTGGTCCTTATTTATTAGTCTTTTTGTGCATCTCCAAAGATTTGGATCAGCTGGGTGGATTTCAAATAAGTATTTTTTGTATGAATTGGTTCTATAATTGTCCAGGGTATCACGAACTTGTTTTGTTAGTGCATTAAGTAAACGACGATCCTCCGGTCGTCTGTATTTTTGCCACAACCACCTAATCGAGTGCTCATGCTGAATAAGGATTAGAATCTTCTTAGGGAGCGAATTTTGAGTAGGACGTTTTTGTGAATTTTCGGTGCAGTTTTGGGCGGCCATGGTGATAGTTTCGTAATCTTTTGTGTACATTGATTTGCTGGGCGATTGGTATGCGCTTATGAGTGTGATTAGTTTATTATTTATTGTTAGTGAGATTGCTATTACTTCTAGTGATCGAAGGTCAGAAATAATTGATATTTGCTACACCACCGGGCCGTCTACGATTAAGCGGGCGGTCATATCGGTAAATTGTATAACCCTAGAATTTAATTGTGTCTGAGTTAATTAAGTGTGTTTCAGTAACACACGCGATATCTACATTATGATGGCTAAGAAAAGTGGCAAATGAGTTTCTTTGTTTTTTTAAACCGTTAGCGTTCCAGTTTATTATGATTAAGTTATGGGAGTTCATTGCAGTTTATACTTAGATTATTTAGTATTGATGGAAGGTTATCTATGATTTGTTTCATTAACTGTGATATAAATGAGTTAATTAACGGCATTAGTGACTTGAGAAAATCATTATCTATATTTTGGGTACGTGTTTCGCTTGATTTTGATTTCGTATTCGTTACAGAGGCATACGATTTATTTGTGTTAACATTACTTGTCGTAATATTATTAAAGTTTACCTCAGGTGTTACATTTATGTTTTGATTTATATTATTGACGTGATTTGAGTATCTTGTTTTTTCATGGGATTTTTTAAGATTTTTTGATATATTTTTCCTAAGGTCTTTATAGTAGCTACAGCCTTTATAGCTAGACCGGTGATTTCCCTCACAGTTTACGCTTGTGTCTCGCTTGTTTTCGTACAATTTTTGTAATGATGATTTTCGGCACATTTAACACATTTCGGTGGTAAATGGCAATATTTTTCTGTATGTGAGTAACGTTGGCAGTTTTTACATTGAGGGATATCTGTGGAAGGTTTACGTGGTTCAACTGAGACTATGCAGTGCAATAATCTGTCTAAGGAGTATATGTGTTTCGATGACTGCTGAAGGACAGCAACTATTGGTATCTGGACTTTAAGATAGTTTTGTAGGTGAGTGACCGAAATCGCCTCGTACTGTAACTCCCACAAGGCTGTAAAAATAGTTTCTTCTGATATTGAAACTGGTAGATTACGGATAACGACAGATATACGTTTGTCTTTAGGGAGTTGATAAGTATGGTATTTTATTTGCATTGTCTCGAGCTCTTTTGTGACAGTTCTATAATCGTCAATTGTTGTTAGTTTTAATTTTAGAGAGTCTTTTTTTTGTTCTATTGTAAAGTAATCGTTAGCTACAGATGCTAAGGATAGATGAAACTGTTCATAATTTGTAATATTGTGGACGAAAATAGGTGGAATTTTCCTTACCTCGGAATGTGTATTGTCAATGTCAGCCAGTGTGTTGTCGTTTATTTCTACGTTGTCGTTAAGGTTGGATAACGATGTATATCGGTTTTTGATTTTTAGTTGAGGACTTGATGGAGACTTTGGGGGGTGATTATCTTTCATTTTTCTCTTACTCGAGACATCTGCCGCCATATTTTCAGCCCCTAATTGTATATGAGGCATTTGAAACACTTTATGCGAATGCGATTTACGCTTATCGATATTTACGGAACGGAAACTTCATCGGACCTGTCGCGCCGGCTGCCGATAACGAATGACACAATACTATTAGGCCAACCTATCATGAATAATATTACAGATACTTACTAATATTTTTAATCAATCATATTATATACATTGAAATATTGTATGAGATTACATTAGAATAAAATCATAGCTTATATACACATACATGGATTATAGGTGTTTAAGAGAAAAAATAAATCTCTTACTGTTATTATTGTACTATTATTCGTCAAGTGCAGTGAGAATTATATATAACAATAAGTAAAAAATATTATAATCGAGCCACCACCTATTTCTACAGTTAAATGAACATGTGAAACACAGTATGATATGTAAACCCACATTAAATCATACACCGATATGTATAATGTATATTCGACATTACAAACACCTAATCATATTATATGGATTACATAAATATATATATATATATATAAGCATATACACATTCATATATACACATCAAAAAGTCGCCTACATATAGGCATACACATATTTACATACACACATACTAGTATATAACCTTACATATTCTTATATAATTAAACAGTATTCATACATGCATACGTACATAGATATACTTAATTAAACAGCATTCATGCATACATATAGACTCGATCTATTATTCCAAATAATAATTTACATAAAATATTTTCGATATATATCTAATTTATTTGATACCTAATTTCTTAAACATATATTAATTATTATATATTTAGTTGATACATAAAATATATCACAACGTATCCATGCATACTGATACAACGCTATCCAATATACAGCAATATAGGACCTACTCATATATAATTCACTCATTTTTTCGTTAAATACGTAGGTAGAATTTATGCTGAAATCTAAAAATTTACTCATCAATGTGAATATACGTTAAAATGTACTAATTTTGATTAAAACATAGCTGTCTGTGTGTAAATACAAAAATCTTGCTAAAATAAGTAAAAATATCATAATTTTAATAAAGCATATTCAAACATCACAATATTTTAGTGAAAAATAGGGAGAAATATCATAGTTTCATTAAAATCATGTAATATTATAAAAAATATCATGTAATATTATAAAAAATATCGTATCCCTGCCTAATTACCATCACAGGCATATATACAGTTTAGTTATTAAGTGTATCTAAATGCATGAACACCATTATAACGAGTCTAAAAGGCCGATACATATCGTTGCACTTTAATAAAATATTATATGAACTTTATGATTGCTTCATTTTCAGTAGATAAACCCATGTACTATTTACACATATTTATCACATAATTCTAATACGGCTTAAAGTCTAGAATATCATATTAATATCATATAAAGAATTCTTAAATTATATTAAATAATATATATAATTCATATTATTGTAAATAATCTAAAACAGAAACCTCCAATTCCGTCATCACTCCATCTCGGTAATATTGCCTCAAATACTCCAACTGAATCAGCTAATCTGTTTTCAACTCATTTCTTCTCGACGTTCACTCCTCGGCTTTCCAACTTTCACCATTTACTGGCTCATCTGATTACTTATCCTATGGAACTTCCTTCCGATATAACGTTTACTGTCGACGATGTTTTTTCCGCTCTTAAATCGTTAAAAAATACTTACTCTAATGGTCCAGATGACATACCCGCTCAATGCTTGTACAATTGTCGTTTTTCTATTGCTTATCCAATTTATTTACTATTCAGGCGTTCATTAGATTTAGGTATTTTTCCTAAGGTTTGGAAAATATCCTCTATAGTACCTGTTCTGAAATCTGGTGACGCTTCTGATATCCAAAACTACAGACTAATTTCTATAATACGAATTGTGTACCGAATTGTACACACAATTCGATGTTAGTACTACAACGTAAATTGTACGAATCGTGTGTACCTAAGAAATTACATGTAGATAAGGGTAAGGAATTTTATAATAAAGATTTAAAACAATTACTAAATAAATATAACATAACAATGTATAGTACCGGCACCGATAAAAAGGCTTCCATAATAGAACGTTTTAACAGAACATTGGGTGATAAATTAAAGAAAGTACTTTATTTAAACAATGTATGGATTACTGAATTACCAAAGATTATTAAGGTATATAATAATACATATCATAGAACGATAAAAATGAAACCTGCTGATGTAAATAAGAAAAACGAGAATGACTTACTTTCTACTGTTTATAATATAATATAATATAATGTTTATAATCTACTGTACCTAAATTTGAAATAAATGATAGAGTTAGATTATTTTCAATAAATGATGTGTATCGAAATAAATTAAAAACAAATTGGTCTAAAGAAATATTTACAGTTAAAAAAGTTATTAAATCAAATGTTATTTATTATAAAATTTATGATATAGAAGGTACATTTTATGAAGAAAAATTACTGTTATCTTTATTATAAAATTATCCATTTTTTCTATATTTAATAAGTTTATAATATATAATTATAAACATTTAGTTTTTAAATGATTATAATTTGTAACCATATGGTATTGTATCAAATCTGGTAATATTATTCTTTTATCATAATCAAATGAGAATTTTTTTGTAACATTTTTATTAACTAAAGTTTTAGTAATTGTATCACGTGTTATTTGTTTGTATTCTAATTCTATATTAATATTTTTATTATTTTCTTCAATTAATTTTATCATTGCTTCCCCATTAAGTTTTAATAAATTTTGATAATTTAAAGTAAAACCCTTTATAACCGTTTTAAATTTATTATCATTTGTTTTATAATAATAACTTTTAGGTCCTGTAGATGCCCAACCTGTTATATGTACATTTTCACCTAATTCATCAGTCCATTCGCCCAACATTGTTCCTGTTTTAATTTTATTAACACCATTATCTATATAGAAAATAGAATCGGTATCATAAGCAACTACAGCTGTATCTAATTTATTTAACATATTATATAATCTTAATCTTGCACTTGAAGTGGTAAATAAAGCTATAAAAATATTAGTATTATGATGATTTTCAATGTAATAATCTTTATAATTATAACACATTTGTATCATATTGTCATTTAATAATTTTATATTTATATTTTCTAATCTATCATCTAATAATATTTTATAGAATTGTTGTGGGTCTGTAACAAACTCAGTTTTTTTCATTTTTTGCCGCTGTCCAAATTTTCCCCATAAGCTAACTAGACATAATTTTGCTACAGCTCTTCTACCAGGATTATCACTTATTTGATTTATATCCAACAAAATACCCATTTTATCGAAAATTGTTTTTATATACTCATCATTACAGCTATAATTATGTTTTGAACTTTCTAATTTTATTTTTATAAAATTATCTACATAATCTTTAAATAAATCTGTTGATTTCTTTTCAAAATGCCACACTTCATACATTTTTGTTATAATATATCCTTTTTCCAAAGCTTTATTAACTTCATCTGTTGTCCATGTTCCTATAAGTTGTCTTTCATTTTTAGAATGATCACATCTTTGATTTTGGTCTACAGCACATTTATAACACAAAGGAAATAATAACTTTTCACTTTTTTTCATTTTAATTTTAACTGGAAGTACAGGATGATAAAGATCTCTTGGAGGTAAAATTTTACATTTAATTAATCCAAACCAATTTTTATCATATACTTTTGGATTAAATATTTTTGCAGGATGCCCAACAGGATAATAATCATAATATTGTACAGTTGGATATAAACTAGGTACACACATCAATATAACGTATTTTTGTATTTTTTACTCTTAGTTTTATAGCATTTGTTCTACCTCCAAAGAAAGCATCTCTAGGATTAATAGGGTCAGCTATATCAGCTTTTTCCATTTTTTTGTATATATTACTATTTATCCAATCACATTCCCATTGTTCAATAAGATTATAACCTGCCTTTTTTATTTTTGTACTTCTTTCAATTGTTTTTTGATACAAGTCATCCATTGTTTCATGGTTTATATTATTTATAGTTTCTCTATCTCTATAACATTTAGGACAACCGTGCCAAAAACATCCATGATATTGATAAACTGTTTTTGATTTTTCATCATAACCATCTACTTTAGATCCTGCTATTTTTTTTTCACCACCATTTAAAGCGTGGTAGATGTTTTTATTATTAAAATGGTTTAACCATGTTATAGATTGCTTTGAATATTTTTCATTTTTCTCTTTATCTAAAACAGCTATAGTACCATCTAACAAATATTTTGATCTATAGATAGCCATACAAACACCTGCTATAGTTGTATAGCAAAAAGGGTCAATATTAGCTATATCCAAAAATTGCTTTCTTAATTCTGAACAACCTCTTCGGTCGATATCCACATCTGAAGTACAGTATGCCTCTAATTCTTCTTTTAAATTAAATATATAATTTTCATTAATTTTATCATTGTACCATTTTTCAAATTCTAGTTTATTCTCTGGCTTCATTGTTTCGAATCCATAATATTTTTTATCAGGTAACATACCAATATAATTTTGATTTTCTACTGTATTAAAGAAATGCGGAAAGTAACCTTTTTTCAGTTCTTTGAGGCCAAACGTTTTGGGAAAACTACTGAGAGGGCCTTGAATAAAATTAGAACTATCTATTATTCTTATACTTAAATTTTTAATTTCTAATAACATTAATTTTGTATCATTATAAATTGTAAATGGTTTCAGAGTGTTATCAACCAAGTATTTTAATATAAATTGTGAATCGTATCCTTTTGCGTAATGTGCTATAAATGTATATCCCTTATAATCCTTGGATATTACATGTTTACAAAATTCTTCATTTGTATCAAACATAATTTTATTTCCTTCAAAATCTTGAGCAATTATTTTATTTGCGATATGAGTTCCTGTTTCTTGTTGAGCTTCATAATCAAAAAACAAATATTTTTCTGTATAAGTACATTTAAATGGTTTATCTGTACCTCCAGTG